GGTGGTGGGGGGGGGGGGGGGGGGGGGGGGGGGCTCAGAGATTAAGTACTCCTTTGAAACTATTTCTCGTACTCTTGACCTTGCTGTCCCTAACCCAAGCCCCTCCCTCCTCCCTCTCAGAGGGATTAGGGCTTCATCTGAATCAGTGATTTTCAGCAAAACCTCAGCAACACATACTTCAATATGGAGAAGAGAGTTTCAGAGTCGGTTTCATAAAATCTCATGAAAGACTCGCTCGCATTCAGGTCGTCCTGCGTCACGAGCGCAAGCAAACACTGACTTGCTCGGAATGAGAACAATCTTTTGCATTATGGCGAAGAATTTGGATGAATGAACCTCAGATATTACTTTTTGTAGGACCTCATCAGCCCTTATTTGGAGAATCTCATTCTGTACGTCCTTGCTCAATCTTTTGTCGTGACAATATCCTTGGTTCAACCACTTCTTCAGTTTTTCACAATCATCGGACCTCAAATTCAGTATCTGAAAGAAGTTTCATTCAGTGTATTCATCACCACGGATAGCTAGTTCTTGCCGCCCAAGGAACTTTAAAGTAATGAAAATAATCTCGAATGTTCTGGTGCGAAGGTGTGGTATGAGCCACACTGATTTCACCCATCGCGTTCACCCCTGAAAACAGTTCATGGAGCTTCGCGCATGCCTCTCGGCATCTGACACTCGGTCTTCTCACGAGCAGAAAACCTTTCCAAAACTTCCACTTATTGAATCCAACACTAATAAATGCACTGTCTTTCTTGTTTGAGGACATTAGGAGGCCTTTATTGAATGCTTGCCCCTTTCTTATGGAACTTTCGAATGATAACCAGGGATAACACTCGCACCACTTCTGTTGGAACTTCCTTCCTCTGTCCCCTTCGACTATGTACGAAACAGAGGGCCGCGTCTCAATTTCCCCAGACTTTTCCCCTCCTACACTAGAGCGATTTCACGAACTGGAAGAATCCTCACAATCAACATTTCTTGCAGGGTCTACCTGGAGGTTTCTGACCACGAACTTTTCCATTACCCTATAGCACCAATGGCATGACTCGTCACCGAAGAATGGTCCGAGAATTGGAGATTCAACCTAGTCCATGTATCGAGAAAAAGTCCACTTTCAGGGAAGCATTTGACAGCCAAGGGATGGCTAATCCTCTTAATAGCATCATTCATCAACTAGGTTAAGGGAAAGATCTGAGAAAACTGCTGCATGACATGTTTGGAAACATGTCACATTTTCAGGGTTGTTGGATTCCCCTTTCACCTCTCGCGTACCTCTAGCCAAAAGTTTTATTGAAGAGAAAGAAGTAATTCGCTTTCAATTACGAAATTGTCAACATTCTCTGAGCACTGAGCACTGACGACGATGAAAGGAAGAAACCAGCAACAGAGCAGAGATTTAATCCTCACATGATTGAAATCCCTTCTCTTCCCCGAGAGGGAATTCACAAATTGCCCTTTTATCCTCCCTGGGTCAAATAGCTTTCCCTTTCACCCCACTGTCAGGAAGCCAAGCCGAAGGTCTATTGGCTTCATTAATCATCTTATTGTTTTGAGAAACTGTTGAGTCTAGATCCCATTGAGTCTAGATCCTACTGTACCTCCCACTCCGACGTTACGAACTGTTAGTTGGAAATGAAATCATTTCTTAGAACGTCTCGTCAGTTCTCCTCGTCAGTTCTAAAAAAAAAAAAGTCTGAATTGTTGAGGGGGTGAACCCCTTCTCCAAATTTTTTTGGGGGCTGAGCCTCTCCTGCCAAATTTATTTCATTATTATTATTTTTTAAAATTATTATGTATTATTTATTTAAATTTTTTTCGGGGGAGCCCCCCGAGCCCCCTATGAATAGCCGCGTATGACCGTGGCTGAAAAGCCATTATAGCCAATATCATGCTGTCCACTGCAATGGACATCATAAAGGGCTTAATGAAGAATTGCAGGGAAGATGGATGGGGACATCGAGGAGCCATTGGATGGCTTTCCCAATCGCCTGATCTCACAGTGCGTGACTATTGGCTATGGGATAGTACCGTATTTCACGGGGAGGCAGGGGGGAGAGGGTGGCGGCCGCCTCCCCTCGTGCCCCTTGGACAGTGCTTGGCGCCCCCTTGGAGGCAATAATTTTCTCCCCTGGTATCGCTCGAGTGGGGTTTGGCACCCCCATTATGCTGACTCTTTGGCCAAAATGCGCCACTGCTGTAGGAGTATATCAATGAGGTTTACAGCAGGAAACCCAGGCCAATTAAGGGTGTGTGATCGCGAACATTGAACAAGTTTTCCAAAGATTAAGCTTGAATATGATACACTAAGCCATCAACAAATTCCCCAAACGTAGGCCTAATGCTCGGTGTGCTGCGCGAGATGGTGCGTAATTTGAAGGGATGTCATGAGCCAGTCATATTTTTGTGCTTTTAGGGTACATATGATCGCTTATTTCATATACTGAAAATAAAAATGTTATCGTAGCTCAAACAGTGGACATCCTTTCTGAGACACCCTGTAAACGCTAGGCATCACGCCTCCCTGGAAAAGAAGAAACTATGGACGATGTGGGGGCGCGAAGTTTGCTTTCGGAGCGCGAGACGTCAAAAAGGGGCGGGGACGAGTCGATGCAATGTTTTCAGTGAATACCATGATGATGACTCCTCAAAAGTATCTATCAACATTTTTTTCGGGAACTCAAGATCAATCCATGAGGAGCAAGGTTGCTCGATTTGCTCAAAACTCCAATAAAGCCCCATTATACATAAACATTTTCACTAACAAATCCAGAGATAATAAAAATTAGCATTATACAGAGTGGAGCACGAGATGTTGACGGTTTTCATTTGTAAATAAAAGCACACAAAAAAGTTATAAAAAAAAACAAACAGAAACACCTTTCTTTTGTTAGGGAATTACTAGCCAGCAATATTGTGTTCAATGTGACTGCCGTTTCGACAGCAAACTTCACCACTCCTTATCTCTTTCTTGCAACTCTTGAACAACTCGGATCTTACATGGATACATGTCCAAACCTTTATTCAACATCCGGTAAATGGTTCCTCTTGCGCTTGGTTCTTCTTACCCGTAATTCTTGCGCTGTTTTTCTTGGTAATTTTCTTTTTTCGGGGCTGCTAAGAGAGTCTTTGTTTTCTGTGGCTCGAACTGATGGTCGCCGTTTCGGTTCTTCAAATCTCCGCTCTTGATCAAATCTTGTAAAGGGTGCAAGATGGTGTTCCTTCTTGGAGCCAACCTTGTTCCAAAAAAAATGTTTGAGCGGCGGTCACATTTTAATTTTCCCGTACAAATGCACAATTTTGCTTTTTTTGTCGCAATGTCAGACGCCCATTGTCCGCCATGTTCATAAATACATTCAACTGATTTTTCACAGCCAACTGAAGCTCCCTGAAAAAGGTCAATCAACTGCCAATACAATGAGTTCTGTAACAAAATAAAAACCGTCGACATCTTGTGCTCCGCCCTGTATGTTTCAATTAAAGCCAAATTTCCAACATAAAATGAGTGCAGTACCAGAACCGATTTTTTAAATTACTAAGTTACCATACTTCCTAGAAAAAAAGCATTACTGAACCCAATATAGCATTAACTCATGAAAGTACAAGATGTCCATAAATTGCCTATACCAAGTCGTACTACTTCGAAAATAATAGAAAACGAATAGAAAGTGAAACAAAAGACAAAAATATGCAGAAACACTTCGAGTTTTGTGCCGCATGGACACCAATTTCTAATTCGTTCTGTTGGCGGAACAGGAGTCACGTAAACAAATATGGCGGATTTCAGGGGAGCTGAGAAAGCACAGGACATTTTTTGGTTTGAAGAAACCCGTTCTCCTCCACAATCAATATTATAATATCACTAGCTGCTACTCGTGAAACATTCACATCATCCTAATTGAGGTTAACCGACTTTGGTCCCATACCATTCAAGGGAAGCACACTGCTGGAATTTTGAATATTGGCTCAATAATATTGAGCCAATCCCGGCATCTCTAAAAAAAAAGTTCTTGTATGAGAATCTTTGATATAACTATTTGTATAGCCTTCTTTTCTCATGCAACACTAATATTTTTAAATATATACTCTGCTTTGTAGGCCCATTTAATATATTTTGATTACCATGAAAATATGTCACTTATGAAGTACTACCACTTCATTGTCAGTGTGTGCAACCAAAATGATTTTGAAATGAGATCCAAATAACAATATTTCTTTTCATATGCAGATAATTTGCCTTTTCTCAAGTGTTTCAACAATTTTGGCCACTAGTGTAAATATATTCCTTCTACCACCTTCCAATATATTTTTTCTTCTTGCGCAGTTTCTCCAAGTTGAGTCTAGGAACTTATTGCCAAGCATCCCGTTCATCACATTCAATCACCCGTATTCACTGTGAAGAGGCATGGGAATAAAACTTGGAAATCACTCAACTCTACAAAAGAGCAGTATCAACCATAAATTTGCGGATAGGCCATGAGATAAAATGTGAGTGTTCCGCATTTAAAAAAAGAATAAACCTTATAGCGAATTAATTC